CCCAGGCGCCTCGAAGACGCGTCCATTATCGTCGGCGCAAGATTTAGCAGCGCCATGGCGAGGGACTCTACCTTGGCGCGTAGGTCCTGAGGGAATCGGGCCGTCGCCACGGCATGCGCTGACCACTCGACGCGCATCCTGGACTGATGCCCAATTTGGTCCACCACGCGCGCAAGTCAGCATCGCCTCGGATACTGCGGGCGCGCGCGTCGCGCGGAATGCCGCGCGCGCGGATGCCTGGGAAAGGCCGGCGAAAGCCGAGCAAATGTCTGAAGCCACGAAAACTGGCATGCCAGTGCATGCCGCCGGCGAAGTGGAGTAGGCGCGCCCCAGGGCGTCGAGTTCGGGCACGGTGGCGCCCAAGTTCCGCCCAGGCATGGGCCCTCCCTGCGAATGCGGCAACCGTTCGGGGAGCAGCCTACTGAACTGCAGCTTGACGCGCGAAAGAAGCATCTGCGCGTCGGCATTGCGTAGCCCGAGACTCTGACGTTGGGCGGCGACGTGGCTCGCCCTGCGTCGGGCGGCGAATCGTCGTCACCGCTGCCTTTCGCAAGCCAGACCTGCAGCGAGTCGCTGGAGCGTTTGAAGCGCATTTGCCCCGCAAGATCCACATTGGGCCTCTCTGAAAATGCGCGGGTCCTTGGGCGTGGCGGACCAAACCGCGGCGGCGATCGCATCAATGCCTGGCCCAGGACGCTTGATTACGGAGGAGAGCAGGGGGTGGCGGGGCAACCTGGGAGATGTCGCAGGCCCCCGCGCGGGCGTTGACGCGGTGCTCGGCTTCGCTGATATCGCAATCCTTACCCGCAGCAATAGGGGCCCAATATTGGATGAGGCGCCATTCGCGTCGCCGGCGATGCAGGGACTGGCGCCGTTGTCAGCGACATTGACAACGCGCAGGACCATGCGCCGAGACAATGGCCGCCTTGCGCTCGAATCTGTTTTTTTCTACGTCGCGAGCTTAGTCGCATAGTCCGCTGCGCGCGTGCCTCCTGCTACAAGCGATGCTGTTCAGCGCATGCGCGTTGATGTCTGTCGGGCCGTGGCTGAAAGGATGGGCGGAGGGGGGGGGGTGAGACGCGCCCGTGTTCGATGTCGAGAGAGCCCGCTGCAGTAGGATGCCGATTGCTGCGTCTCCCCGCGCGAGCAGAACCACCCCGCGCAGCCGCACGAAAGACCGCCCGAGCAACGCGCGTGTCTGGGGGCTCCCTGGGGAGTCGAGAAACAAGCGATCGCGAGCGTCGCGCGCAACTTCCAGCATCGCCAATTTGCGTAATTCGATCTGCCTCGTGTGGGGGGGGCGAGTAGTTACTGTTGCGTCACTTTGCGCAGGGGGTTCGCCCTGTTGCGTCTCCGAAAACTGCGGGGCGTCGAAGATGATTGAAGGGGCGCGCTGTGACCTTCGATAGTCATGCTGTCGCTGCCGAAGAGCGAGTGACTGCGCCGCGTGATCACTCGTTTGACCGTTGACAACTGCCTCGGGGGTGCTAGTCCGACGGTCTGACAAATCATAAAGCGCTACCAGCTCATCCATAATCGTTCAATGGCAGATACTGCGCGAGCATGCTTGTCGTAGCGCGTAGCATCGCCACCAAAAACCACGGTCAGCTTCCGCCACGTGGGGGGCCTGTGCGCGCTGACCTCTGCCTTCCACGTGCGCTAGTTCAGGTCGACGAAGAAATAGCGGAGAGGAGTTCGCTGCAGTGGAATCAACATGAAGGACAAGTGCCCGCGATGATTGTGCCCGAGCCGCATGTGAGAGGTCAGCGAACACCTGTCCGAAATAGCATCTGCACCTGCTGGAGGGGCAACTCGTGGTTGTGGACGCTGTAATGTCTGATCAGTTGTCGACTACTCCGGAAACAGTAAAACGTAGCACGCGGCCAGGGACGGCCTCCGATTTCGTGGCATTCGTTTTACAGGTAGCGGGGAAAATGGTCGCAACCTCACCTTTGATGAAGGAGTCGATATGCTCCTGCATTTGCCGATAGAGCCCGCCAGTCCTGTTAGCAAAAAACTGCTCGGCCGCGACCTCAGCAACGCGGGATATCACGCAGAGCAGCACCAATAGCGCTGTTCCTCGTAGCTTGCTCGTCCCGGGCGGCGGCAAGGCTTGCGACCTTGTCCTTGACAGTGATGGAGGCGACGGATGAGAAATCGTCGAGGAGAACCTGGCGGGTGAACTTGAGCTGTTCAATGGCCTGCGTGCGCACCAGCTGGCCGAAGTATGCTACCATCGTCGTCTTCAAGTCGAGCGCCATGGCGAATGTCGCCAAAGACAGCACTGCCAGCGCCAGCAGGCTCGGGAGTGGGAGCAGGAGCGCGGGGAGTATCAGGAACACGGCACCGCCCTTTGCGGAAAAGCAAATAGATAGCCCGACAAGAACGGGGAACTCCACCGCTTACCCACCTGACCATCTGCGGGAAGCGGGACTTGCCCCACACGGAGCTCACTGAAATACGGGAACCGTCGACTAACGGCATCCACTTTGTTCCCCCAGAATCCGGCATCTTGAGGCAAACTGGCTGAGGACGAGGAGGGGGAGCATCGAGCCTTTTAGGACTTCCTGCGACATCCTGGGCCTCCTAACGCCCCGAAAAGGCCTCGATTGGGACGTCTTGGGGCCTACGCGGAGACCTCTTGAGGCCTCCGCGACGACCTCCGCGGAGACCGCGTCGAGCTGGGGAAAGACCGCGGATCTAGGACGGAAATGATATCATGATTGGGCAGGCCCACGTTACAGTCAGGATTGTTTGGATAGATTGTCGTCGCGGCGGCCAACGACACGATATACTCTGCGGCGAGCGATGGGGGGGAACTGAAAAGGAGAAGGCCTTCTCAGAAGTTTGCGGGACTTGTCAGAAGTCCCCGCGCCTTCTGAGAAATCTTGTCAATCTTCGGGGAAGGCTTGGAAAACTTCGCCGAAGGCCCAAAGGGGGTCCGAATCCTCTGAAAAACCTTCTCGTTCTCACTTCCCCCCTTCGCTCGCCGCCGATACGCCCTGCGAGCGGATAGCGCGTCGCTCCGCTCCGCTGGGCGGGGGGAGGGGACTCTGACGCCCGGGGGCCAGAAAAGGACACAGCGTGCCGCGCCAGCGCGTGGTGGGCCAGCACCGGCGGAACGACACGCTCAGCCCGGGTGCCTGACCGCAGGAGGTAGATCCTGGAGGCCTCGCGCGGCAGCACGAGACCCAACGTGCGGGGCCCCGATGTATACACCACCACCAGGCGGCCATAGGAAAGGAACAAATCCTGCGCGCGACCGCCCTGAGAGGGGTGCCACTGCCTGCACCCGCCATGCGCAAGCGCAAGTACTTGCCACGTGGTCATGCGCGCAGATGGCGGCCGCATTCGGTCGCGAATAATTGCTCCCAAGCACCCTATGGCAGCACGGTGGTGGTAGATAAAAGCGGTGGACCCCCTGGGAATGTGATACACCACACCGAAATATACACCACGTGAAAGTGGTATTTTTTGCGCATGAGACCGCGTGCCCAAATGACGGTGCACACGCGACATGTCATTACCTCGAGATTTGACGCACCCTGCAACCCACCGCCGAGACAATAATCCGATCAACCCCCATGACAGAAAACCAGCCCGCGGTGGTAATGTAAATGCGTGGGTCCTGGACAGCGCACCACTTATGTACGTCTCGGCGGCGAGCGGGGGGGGAAGTGAAAAGGAGAAGGCCTTCTCAAAGGGCGGCGGGGCTTCTCAGAAGCCCTTCGATCTTCTAACAAGGTTTCTGCGTCTTCGGGGCAGGCTTCGAAGACTTCTCAGAAGGCTGGGGGACTTCCGAGCCTTCTGAGAAGGCCCGCCGGATTGCGTCGGATGTGGGGTTCACGTCGGATTGCTTCGGATGGGCGTCGGCTAGGTCGAATTCACGTCGGACTTCCGTCGGAGCATCGCCGCCCGAACGTCGACCGACATCGTGCGGAGAGGATGTGCAAACTAGATGATGCAACTACTCCATGCCGCGGGAGGCCTCCTGGATTCTCCGAATAGGGAGGGACCTGCGACGAGAATGGTGTCATGACAGGATTGGCTCTGGATGCACTTCAAGATGTCCAGGAGACCTAGCGACTGAGCTGCTCTCAGTTCTGCAGCCCGAATGGACAATTTGGAACCCTGGGGAATCCTGGGAACCTTGGAACGTATTATTATCATGACCTCTTGCTCCACTGTGGATCGGCCCATTGACGGCATGCGCTCCTTCAGAAGTGGCTGGGGTCGCCGTCACCGATTCTGCCCCCAGAGATCCAACACTTCGAACCGAAACAAGTATCAAGTGTTTGTGGTCTTCGGCCTCTGTGAGCCCGGCACCAAGTCACAAAATTGTCAAAAAGAATCCAGATGAAAAGCGGGCCCTGGGGGAAAGGTCGGGACTGCGAGGGACCCTGTATTGACAAGAAAAAGAGACATCGAATGTGTGGTTCTTCGTCGGTGCACACGACAGTGGGGAGAAGGAACAAGCGGTTACTCGCTGGAATGACCGTAGGCAAGAGTTAACTTTGGAGCGAAGCGTTGGGGGGGGCGCCAAGAGGGCCAAACCCAGACGAGCAAGATTCTGCTGTCATGTCGCATTCAGCGATGGAGGGACGCACCAAAGGTCACCTTGACGAAAGGATACTTTAACGCACAGCCGATGGCGAGGGAGGAGAATTGGGAAGAGTTGGAGCACACCTGGGTGACGACAGGACCAGGCGATGATACGAACAAGCTCCACACTACAACGCTGCAGCAAATCGCTGTCACCTTACAGTCTATTGCGACTTGCTGCCGCATTACTGCTAATGTTACTGATGCGATCCGCACCGCTACCAATATGCACGCTGGGGGGATGAGGGATATTCTCGACGGTGTTCCAAAAATCTGGGAAACTACTCCACGAGTTGATAGACTTCCGAAACGTTTCCGGACCCTGCTGGGCCATCTGGGAACGATTGATGGAGCACTTGTGCCGCAACACCCTTGAAGCCACCAATAAAGGACAGATCCTCGACAGGGCTGGGGTGCGGCGCGGCCAAACAAGGCGATGGAGCCAAAATGGCTGTGAGTGCCCCATTGCGGGGGTCGGACAACTTCTGCCTATGCTCGTCCTCCTCTTCTGTGCGCCTGAGCCATCTGATCATCCGACATCCTCCTCCCGCCAACCCTTCAACTTATCGAACCTCCTCCACAAACCTCATCCTAATGAACATGAAACCTCCTCCACATCCCTTCTGCCATGAAGAGCAGGAAGAGACCACCACCCCAGCGATGGGAAGACACTTTCGTGATCCGCCAGCTCTCTCCTCCCCCTCCTCCCTCATCTCTCCTCTTCCTCCTCCTCCTCCTCCTCCTCCTCCCCCTCCTCCTCCTCCTCCTCCTCCTCCTGCTCCTCCTCCTCTTCCTTCTCCTCCTCCTCCTCCTCCTCCTACTCCTCAAACCTTTCCCAATCTTCTCGTTCAATCTTAGTTTGCCCTCCTCCTACTCCTCCTCGTGCAGAGACGGTAAAGCGGTGCGTGTGCAGGGGCGACCTGTTGGCTAGCCTCCAGCCTTCTCCTGCCCGTCCTTGTCATCCGCTTTGTTCGCCTCCTTTTCCTGGGTGCACTCGCCAAAACCAGCTCGCGACGTGACGCCGGCTCGATATATCGGCCTGGCGGGACCCTTGGACGCTAACAACGTCGATCAAACGCCTCCTCCTCCTCCTCCTCCTCCTCCTCCTCCCTCTCCTCCCCGCACTCCTTCTGTAACTGTCTGAAGACACGATGAGGATGTCTTGGAGGGTCTGGAGGCGTCTGGTGCGAGGCTCGAGCGAGCTCTGGGCACTCACAACTGCACTGTTGCGAAACATTGCAAAATACGTGCGCCGTGGAGCCCTCGCTGTCGTCATGGAGGGAATGCGGAATCGCGCCAACGTGATGACGTAGCGTAGAATGCGCCAAACGTTTGCACCACCGTCCCGACTCCCAATCTACATTGCCCGCTCAATATAAAATCGTGGTGTGGCGTTGGATATGTTTTGTTGGCTGCAGTCGGAATCTGTAGTGAGGACGGGCGGTAAGGTAAGGACGCAAGGGCCTTGGACGGCGAAGTTGGCAGTTCTTGGGTGGCGGACTGCCAACACCTTGAAGGGCTGGCCAGTGAAAACCGCGACAGACGGGCCGTAGAGGCGAGGACGCAAAGGTATCCAAAGGATCTCCGTGCAACCTTACTATGAGGCTTGACTGTGCTACTGGATGCGATGACGCAATCGCGCCGCACGCAGCAAAAAACTTGTGGGCCACGCTGCGAGCCGCAACCCACATGAAGCTCAAGAGCATAAATATGGCGAAAACCAGGCGAGCGATTTGCAAGGGAACCGTTAGAAACTGATGCAATTTGACTGCATGGACGGGGGAAGGATGATGGATGGGGCGAATCTCAAATCTCTGACGTCGTGCCACATCACGACCTGTGCTCTCGATCCCGCTCGCGCCATTACGGGAAACCTCCCGAACCGGACAGGCCCGTGAGGAAAGGCTCCAGGGGGCCGATGGGGCACCTTGGCGGCGCACACAAGGGGGTGGAGAGAGGGGGGAGGGCTTCTTAGAAGGAGGCTGCTTCTCAGAAGGCGCCGGCCTTACATCTCTAGATAAGGCCCGCGCCTTCTAAGAAGCAGGGGTGCTTCTAAGAAGCCCTCCCCCCTCCCCCCCCCCCCCCCCCCCTCTGCGCGTGGCTGAGCACTGAAGAAGAGGGGGCGAAAAACACCGGCCGTGATCGGCTGCACAGCCCCGGGACGCCAGGGCCAGCCCTCCCCTCCGGACGCGAAAATCCGCCCAGCTCGGCTACACGCAGGAGCGGCCCTAGTCAAGAGGGTGACCTCTGGCGCGCGACCTGCCGACATCACGCGCGAGGAACAGAGGGCCGAGTCTGGAAACCCTGAACCCCAAAAAATGATGTCATCTCTTGGGAAAGGGGGGGGGGGCATCTTTTACTTCCGCCACCTGTCGCCGCCCTTCCGCCGGCTTCCGCCCGCGGAGGCGGCCTTGCTTTACTTCCGCCGCGAAAGAGATGACAACTCCTTCTGTCCTCGAAGACAAGGCCCTGCCTGGAGCGCCTCATACAGTCGGCCCGCCGTACCAGAAGGATGCGCGATAAGGATGCAAGGGCCTTGGAGGGCCGTTTCGAAGCTTTTCGAGAGGGCGCGACCAACGAGGGTGGCTAAGGATGGGCCGATGTTGCCAGGGTACCCTCGGGTACACTTGGGAAGGCTGCCAATCCTTGCTATGCGGGTTGACAATATTCATTTTCGTGCCCCCGCGGTCTGGACACCGAGGGGCTCTCCTGTGGATGCGCGATTTCCCGTGGATGCGGCACTGGTGGGGCCTCTCCGCGCAGAGCCGCTCTCTGTATCCCTGGGGCCGAAGGGCCGCGGAGCCCAGGCTGCGAGGCTGTGGACAGGGATCCGTTTCCCTCCCACGAGGACTGAGCGCAGACCCCCCCTCGGGCAATGACAAAACCATGAACGCAAGCTTTTCCAGATCTTCGGCCTCTAGAGGCCCGTCCCGGGCCTCGGGACTGTCCACACACGGCTCAGGATGACAAACCGGTCCAGGGGAATGGGTCGAGATTTCCGCAAAAGACGCGCCCGCGAGGGGCAGCTCGGCTCCCGGGCAACAGCTAGGGCTCTCGGCGGCCGCTCGGGACGATCTGGGCAGCCACCCCGGGGATGCATTCGGCGAGGCGCAGCTGCTGGAATGCGTCCCGAGGCAGGGTGCATCCCAGGAGCCGACGAGAGCGCCCGAGACCCCCCAAACCCCGGAAGCCCGAGACGTTTTCAGCCGATTCAGCCAGCGAAGGGTCACTCTTGCGCGTCGCCGATCTAAAATGGCCCCCATGAACCCCTCCCCAGGCACCGCCCCCACCGGTTTCCTGAGCCCTGCGGCGGCCGTATGGCGACGACGGGGGTGGCCTCGAAGCCTTGGGCCACCGTCCTCCAGCCCGAGAGATGGCCGCGTCCATTTGCACCGTTGCCCATTTGCGGCCGTCACACATCCGTGTTAGCGGGCATGTTGTGTGACCTTTCTCGGGAACCCTCGGGGGGAGCCCTCGGGAGCCCAAGGAGGCTTGTTTGACCATGTGCTGGCCCCGGGACCCAACGGGGCTGTGTGACCCCGTGTTGGACATGACCGCCGCTCCGATACAGGGCCCATCTGACGCGAACAGAATGGACGGCGCCAGAACCGATGCAAAGAGGGGGAGGATGGGAAGGAGGCGGGGAACGGAGGGGGAAGGGGGGAGCAGAGAGGAGAGAAACTCCAGGAAGGGGCAAGGAAGAAGGAAGAAGAGGAACGAGCAGCGGAGGAGCGAGAGAGCAACGGAGCAGTTTAGGGGAATTCAGGGGCAGTCCAGGGGCCCCTGCCAAGCCCCTTCCCTTCCCTGCCTGTCCTCGGTCCCCCGCCGCTCCCGAGGAGGGGCCCCCACAGGCCGAAGGAGCGGGTCCGGCGCGGAGACAGCCGCGGGCACCCCTCCCGGGTAGGAGCCCGACCTGCCGGGGGGTGCGCCAGGAGTCACCCCCGGGGGGCACCCGCCAGGGCCACGCGCCAGGGGGTCCTGCCGCCGCGCGTCGCCGACGCTGTTGGCAAAACATCGGCTCGTGTCTGTCTATAGCACGGGCGCGCCGGCGGCAGAGGGGCCCTTCCAGGGGCGGGGCGGCCGGCGAAGCAGACGGGGGGCGGGGGTCCGGGCTCCCCGGTGGCCCCGTCCTCGTTCGCCCTCGCGCACGCCTCTCTCCTGCTCGGTCCTCGTAGAAATTCCTCAGCCCTCCTCTTTCTCCTCCTCCTCCTCCTCCTCCTCCTCCTCCTCTTCCTCTTCCTCCTCCTCCTCCTCCTCCTCCTCCTCCTCCTCCTCCTCTTCCTCCTTTCCTCCTCCTCCTCCTCCTCCTCCTCCTCCTCCTCCTTTCCTCCTTTCCTCCTCCTCCTCCTCCTCCTCCTGTGAAGTGTGTTGAAGTCGTCAGGGGTTGCAGTCGGATAGGGTCAGGCGTCCTCCCCTTCGCACCCGTGCCCTCGCAACTGATGTCCCCCGTCGCAAGCACTTGAGTCACTTGAGAGCAGTAGGCCACGACCCCTCGGATGTTTGGCACACGTTTTCATTGCATGGTGTGCCGCCGATGTTTTGAAGCGACGGGTGGCAAAGTCTGCATTGCCGGCCCGGGAAACAGTGCGGGGCCCCCGACATCAGACCGCATGATGAACGTGAAACCGTATTCGCGCCTCCTGCAGCCGACAAGGCCCATTCGACCCATGTGCTGTTTCGACCCATGTGGTGTCTGCGTTTCGGGGCATTTTGTTTTGCCAGCTTTGTGGGCGTTACAATGTCTCGACTGCCCAGAAGATCTCTGAAGCATTCCCGCCGACGTGGCCCATCACTAAGGCTGGCGCCAGCGTCCTGTCAGGGCTGGCCAAAGGTTTACCGCCAAAGAGCGATATGGAGCTCACCTCGCTTTGAATGTGTTGAGTGGGTCCTGGCTTGATCAGGGGTGCTCATATGGTCCAGCCCAGAGGTACTCCTCCATCCCCTCTTCCTCCTCTTGCCCCCTCCTTCTCTTGCCCCCACCTGCCTCAGGGTTGGCAAGTGGTCGCGTCGCGGGTCGTTTTGTGATGGCCCCAGGGTCGCCCTGAGGGAAATGAGGCCTGGAGGTTTTTCTGTTTTCAGGGTCCCTGGGGGCCTCCCATACGGGACCGCTAAGACACGACTCAGGATGACGAACTGGTCCCAAGAAAAGCCGCCGGTTCTAGGAAGGACCCGTTTCCCTCAAGACTCCGTCCATTCATGGCAACAAGGCGTGCAAACTGGAGGGTCGGAAGCCACATTTGTGGAAACATGGAAAGCCCCCGCAGACGCGGATAGGAGAGAGGTGCCCCCCCCGCACGCGTCGCGTAAAATCGTCAATCAAATCCAGAGCCCGCTGCAGGCGCCGACTTGTGGCGACTCAGCTGACCATAGCACACGGTGGGCGTCAAGAGCCCGCCGCGAGCGCAGATCTCGTCTTGTCGGCGCGCACTTCTGCGCAGGACCTCTGGCCCCCCCCCCACTTGGGGCCCCCTCCCCTGGGCCCCGAGGCCGCGTGCCTCCCCTCCTGCCAAGCATCACCGACCCCACCCCTGGGGCCTTCCGCGGCCTCGGGGAGGCCCCTGTCTCGGTCTGGCCCGCCCCGCCCGCCATGTCGGGAGAAGGAGAAGGTTCAGAATTTGGCTCGCCGAGCCAGTCAACACACTTGCAACCTGAACTGGAGTCGCGTGAGCGGATCCCTGCGCTTTACGATGCGCAGAAGTATAGGCACATATGCAGCACGTGCTGTAAATACACACGAGTGCGCTTCGCACATGGATGCGTGATGGCCAGAAAAAAAAAACACGTGCGAGCGTAGACCCAGGCGAGTGAGTGATTGCACCCTGGGTGTGCAAGCTACGTGGTGCAAATGTTGTCGAGCAAGTTATGTAGTGAAGACTACGCGTTCTGCAAGCAATGTTGTGCAAGCTACGAGGTGTGAGCAATGCGGTGTAAGCAGTGTGGTCCAAGCTAAATATGTGTGGTGAAAGCTGGACGCCGTGAAAGATGTGTGTTGGAAGCTAGGTGGTGCAAGCTTTGCGGTATAAGCTATGCGATGCGAGCTACAGTCGGCCCGTATCATAAGGATGCGCGATACCTAAGGGTGCAAGGGCCTTGGACGTCCATTTCGAAGCTTTTCGAGCGGGGCGCGGCCAACGAGTCTGAAAAAGGATGGTCCGAGGAGGCAAGGATGCAAGAGTACCCTTGGGAAGGTTGCCCATCCATACTATGCGGATTGACTCTATGTGGTGCAACAACGTTGTGCAAGCAATGTTGTGCAAGCTACGTGGTTTGAGCAATGCGGCCAGCGAAACAGGCAGGGTAATTCCAAACTAAGTGTGGTTCAGGCCGGGCGCCGCGCAAGAGATGCGTGGGAAGAAGCTATGTGGTGCGAGCTCTGCGGTGTAAGCCACGCGATTCAGACCACGTGGTGCAACAGAGCGGTGCAACCCGAGCTGTGCACGCCGTGCACTGCCACGAGGCGCCCTACCGAGGAGCCCACGAGGCGCCCGCCGGGCCACCCGCCCTTCGCCCACGTGGCGCCCACGAGGTGCCCACCGGCCGCCCACCGGGGCGACACGCACGCGTGGGGCGCCCACGAGGCGCCCACCGGGGCGACACCTCGGCAGACCCACCCGCAGCACACGGGGGCACACCGAAGCAGCCCTGACTTTAGGTCGGGCACGTCCTCCTACAGGCCGATTTTGAGCGAAGAATTGCAAGTCAAGAAAAGCTCAATCATAGTCAAAACTATTAGAAGCATCGTCCCCAGACTATTTCCTGTAGAGGGACATGTCCGACTTAACCCTAGCTGCGAGCGCCACCTGGCGGATAGAAAAGCCATCGTCGCCTCTGCTTGCCCGCGGAGCCTGGAGAGAGGCCTCCTGTAAGGTCGGAGTAGATGGGGTCGGAGGATCGCGCCGCATCGCCGATACATCGGCGAGGCATCGCCGATGCATCGGCGACGCCAACGCAAGAGGGACCCTGGGTAAGAGTGACCTTTGGTGCGCGGCTTTGGGGGAGCAGCGGGGGGCCAAACCCACGCGCGCAGGACGCAACTCTCGCATGGCATTAGGCGATCGAGGTACCCCAATGGGACCGCACCAAAAGGTCACTCCGGCGGCGAAGGGTCACTCTTACATATAGTCGACCTGCTCGCCGGGAGCCCGTTTTTTCTTAGCCCCCGGCAAGTTAACTTGCATGGACGGGGGGGCGGGCTGGACCCGCAGCAAACAGCAGCCGACGTGCACGTGTGGAAATCACGCAAGTCGAAGGGCGCTTGCACGCTGGTGATCGTTTGAAGAGGGGCGAGGGGGCGGGGGGAGGGCGAACGCCATGCAAGTAAAAACGTGTCCGACAATTCTTAAAAAAATGAATAAAATCATGAACAAAAAACGGGCTCTAGTCGATCTGCTCGCCCGCGGAGCCTGGATGACCCCCCTCTCTGGGCTTCGCCGGCCGCCGCAGACGAGGGGCCATTAACGGCCCCAAGGGTGGGGCATCGCACGCGCCGCCGCCCCGGACGGTGCGGCGCCCCGCAGCGGGGCGGAGGAGAGGACGCCAAGAGCGAGGCAGGGCGAGGGGCGAAGGAAGGGGCATATCTGCATGGACATCTCAACGTTCGGAGGGACCCCTCGCACCTCCACCCCTCGCCCCCCATCCCACCGCTCACCCCCCCGCCGCTCCCCCCCCCCTCCCCTCCCCCCCTCTCCCCCCCCTCCACTCCTCTCCTTCCTTCCTCTCCTTCCTCTCCTTCCTCTCCCTCATCCCGTCTAGGGGCGCGCGACGGGCTTGAGCGCGGGGGGGGCCGCGCAAGGGGTTAGGTGCAGGAGTCACCTCCGCCGCAGGGAAAACCTGTGGGGTTTCTCCTGGGGGCGGGGCCCGCCGGAGGGCCTTCCGCACGCGCGGAGGGCGCCCCAACCTCGAGCGGGAGTGTGTCCGCACTTGCGCGGTGCGGACATGCTCCCGCCCAGGGTTGCGGGCCTTTTCCCGGGTGCGGAGTGAGTCGTCCCCCCCTCCCTTCGCCGCCGCCGCCGCCGCCACGGCCGCCGCGGCCGCCACCGCCGCCGCCGCCGCCGCCGCCACCGCCGTCGTCGTCGTCGTCGTCGTCGTCGTCGTCGTCGTCGTCGGTGTCGTCGTCGGGGTCTTCGGTGTCGTCGTCGTAGTCGTCGTCGTCCTCCTCCTCCTCCTCCTCCTCCTCCTCCTCCTCATCATCATCATCATCCTCCTCTTGCGTCCTCGAGTTGGAACTCGGAGGCGCTGCGCCTCCCGACTTGGACACAGGCAACGCCGGAGGCGGCGGTGGTGGGTGCGGTGGTGGGGGCGCCGTGGATCGGGTGCTTTCCGGTCCCGGGGGAGGGGTCCGCCTGCGGGCTGTCCGCGCGCGTGGGGGACGCCC